CCGAGCTTTTCACCCTATCTCTAAGGGAGACCCCAGCCACCCTATGGAGGAAACCCATTTCGGCCGCTTGTATCCGCGTATGGCTGGTCTGTGATTGCTAAATGACATGGCCAGCGAGCCCATCGGTTGTCTTAGTTACTACGATTTCACAGTAGTACAGTAGTAGACAGAAATATCACTTCAACTGTAACAAATATACTCACAACGTTGCACATTTAATCAAACACGAACAGAGGAAGAGGTGGTAGTGACCACCATTAGGGATCTTGCCACTTGGTTGGCTTTTACAATGGTTTTGAGTGGGTTATTTACCAACAAAATTGTCAGTTATTCTTTTATTAGGCATTTAGTATGAACACAGGTAGACCTAAAACCCTCCTGGCTAACAAACACATCCATATACAGTATGAAAAGATTCATACCGACACAGAATAAGACACCTACCGATGTGTATAGGAAGCCTTCGCTATTCATCGCCAAATAGAGCTTGGTCTGAACCCCTTGGATGGCCACCACTCGCAGTCCCACTGGAATGAGGTTGAACATGGCTGAAAAAGAGAAACACGTTAATTACTCACAGGAAAATATCTAGTTTTTAAAGCTCTTTTATCATTAATTGTGATAGTTTGTTTGTGTTGTTTTGCATTTTTAAACAATTAATAATTTTAGGGGCTACAATGATTAGTCACTTTAGTGGACAACAAAAGTTAAGTTTTAATAGATCAAGGCATCATTCAAACAAATATAAACATTGGATTTGTCACAAAATGTCTTTTTCATTAGCAGTTAAAATCAAATGCAGTTCATTAAGGTGGCTGCAGATGGCAGTATTGCCTCTGTTCCCTGTGAGCAAGAACACCCTATCATGTGATTCGCTGTGGCTCACTGAGCAATAATTGTCAAAAAAATGGGAGTGCATTCTTATTTTTTTTAAGACACAAAGTAGATTTTTTAAATGATTTTGAATGACACGGGCACAGAAACATAAATATATTAAGATATGGCTTTAACCATTCAGTTAAGCCCATGTCACACCTTGACGATTTAGCCAGTGTATGCCTGACATCCTAGAATTTTCTAAAATGCTGGTATATCCTAAACTTTCTATGTATTTTTAAAATTTTCGGCATATAGATAGAGTATTCATAATAATTCCAGAATTTATGTCCAACGACAGCCTAACTTAACATATCGCACGGCAGCGTAATGCCCATGAAATGTCAGAAGTCAGCGTCCTGAGGAGGGCCCGTTGGAGCCCTGCCTGCATAAAAAGAAGACAAGGCCACAAGAAGAAGATTCCAATAAACACCATTATACAGTAGGTGTAAGTTAAGAGGGTCTGACCACATATATTGATCGCATATCAAATACGTTGATATGCGTTGAAGATACGTTCTTAAAATAAGTTATGCACAAGTTACTCATAGGTTATGGATAAGCTGGACAACACGACTTATGACTTACTCACGTTTAACGATCAAATAACTTACCTGTAACTTATGGCCCACGTATGAGCAAAAGCTGGCATACATGAAGACGTACTTGCCGTATGTCGACATGTGTCAGCGTGCTTCAGCTTGCTCATAACTTATACAAAACTGACCTGTAAATTATCCAATGTATGCCAGTGTTTTTGCCAGTTTTTTCATACATCAGGCATACGCTGGCTAAATCGTCAAGGTGTGACAGGGGCTTTAGGAGGTTTGAGGTTTACCTACTGTTCAAACACTCAAGCTTCTACAAACCTCCCCCAGAACAAGACAGTATCAAAAGACACTCCTACAGTGGTTTGCTTTTAACCCCCACGGTCCCTTGAGTACAAGCAGCTGTTTCTATGTTTTTTCTGTGTCTTTTTTTCTGTGAGGCTCTGGGAGGTTCACATCAGAGAAACACCATCATGGGGTCACATCCAGGGACCAGATGCTGAAAAATGACCAGAGGCTTACTGGGCTAAATGGTTTACATTCAGAAACAAATTGATGCAAGACAGACAGTTTGCAACATTTCTCTTCCTTTTGAGGAACTTCAGGAACTTTTAGATGTTTGCAGAAGCTTGAAAGGCCGGGGAACATCCCAATTAGCTCCCAAAAAAGCTATTTTGTTTCCAAATTCTTCAGGATAAACATTGATTCTCACATAAAATAAAATCCATGTTACACTGTGATATATTTGTATCATCTTATTGATTATGGTTTTCTACCATGCTTTTCCTTCTTCTTTGTACAAAGTGGCTTAGTTTAGTTTACTTTCACTAATTTGGTCAAGTTTTTAACTGAAATATGTTTGACTTGGAGCTGAATGATTTATGTTAATAAACTAATTTTTAATGGAAGTTTTAGTGAATTTATTCTATATATATGCAGAATTATCTGCTTGACCATGATTTTAGTTCAATTCCCACTTTCAATTGTTGTTCCATCCGTCATTTGTGAACACACTGCCAGTAATGTAATGACGTATGTTCACAACGAATATATAACAGTCCAAATAATATCAGATTAAATAACATATTTACCATCCCTACTGGGGTGGACAATAAATATAATAAAGTTGTTCAACAATGCAACGTGGACATTAAACAGGGCAATTTCGTCAAAACTTTAAAATTTATTGTTTGTTTTAAAGTCCCACCGGTAAAATGTTTACCAGCAGGTGAAGCCATTGCGCGCAGCTCCAAGCTGACACCAAAAGTTCCAAACCCCACAGCTCTGGAACTGTTATAGCTAGAGGTCTGATTTTTTTTGCAATGGTGGTTGACATGATGTAGAACAAATACAATACAATAAAACCTGCTTTTTTTTTCTCTCAAAAATGTCTTTATTACTGCTGTTCAAAAAATACCCTTCATTCCCGAGAAAAAGAACAACTTTGAGTCATGTATGAACTGATGCAGCTTGGTCTGTGTTATAGTCACCCAATTTGAATTTATATATTCAGAAACTAGAGGGTGTTAGCTTTCAAATAATGTATTGAACATGTAATATAGGTTTACAGTCCCTAAGTTATTTGCTTTTTCTTTTGAGTATGCAAAATAGGCAAGGATTACCCAAAATGAGGTGGATGTTAAGAGGTTAATTTGTCACTGAGATTAATGGTTAAGATTAATGTAAATAGACAATAAAGGGACATTGAAAGGTGTGCAGTCTAAAGCAAATGAGTCAAAATATTTTTAGATGCATCTGAAGTGTATTTTAACAACCGAATAATGATGAAAGAGATTTAAAAATAATCATAAAATAATAGAACAATAACTGTTAACATAATCATTAGGTACAGCCCTCATACTTATTATGATCTTTTTTACACAATAACACAAACAAAGAAACTCTCCCCACTGGCCAAAACCATATTTGTACTCCAAGCAAACATTCATATCACACAAATTAAATATCAGATAAGTCTCTGATATCGGAGAATTGTCCCTCTGAGACCTGAATTACTTTAAACTTATGCTAAACGCCACAGGTAAATGCATGGCAAGCTTTGAAAACCACTTAAATATAATAATTTCTTTGTGTTTTCAAACAAAGCCACTGCAATATTCTTTGCGACTGCTTCAACATTTACACAGACAACAATCACTCATGGATTGACCACAGGCAAATAAACATAAACTTGTCTGTGATTAGTAAGCTGGATATTGGTTTAGTGTCTGAATGGGCCAGCAGCAACCCATCTGGCCACTGAGGTATATCCCTACCTAATTAATATCCGCCTGTTCAGGGCTATGTGTCTGTTTGTACTTAATCACTAACTCATATGGAAGCCAAAGGCTTTGTAAATCAATGTTCACATAAAAGGCTGCAAAGGACCTATCTTTTAGACAAACAAACTTTGCTTTATGGTGACCCTCTTATTTAATGACTTGTTAATGAAAAGCTGTGATAGTTTTACTATACTGGGTGTGGAGAAAATACAAGAATATCTAAGGACCTCTGGGTAGGGAAATTAAGCTACTCACATCCTTGTAAAAGTGAAGCTCTGATTCAGGGTATCATCACTATAAATATCTCAAACACTTTAGAGTGAAGTGCACTAAAGAGACTTTTTAAAGGGTCGTTTTATTTGCACTCAGTGTCTGACTGCAGCAGACATCCATTTCTGCTTGCTTTACAAAAGCGTTAGAAAGACAAACGCTTGATGTGTTTAGTTTATAGCAGCTTTGTAAGGTTAATTCTGTTTCGGAGAGAAATGCATCCATTACAATCAAAGTCACAATAAGCTAAATTCTTCAGTATAATTTTTTTTCTTGACTGTATTTAGTTTTATATGATAAAATTTGAATCTACAAATCTATATTGTTAATTTGTCTTTTTCACAACCTCAGTATTAAAGAGAATGTATAGTAAATCCCTTGAGTGATTTAGTAACAGATGCATGAATATGGAGCGGAAAAAAAAAACAGGTCAATATTCAGAAATATGCACATATGATTTGCACATGCACACAAAAAGAATCAAACATGTACAGCACGAGATGCACACATTCAAAGAACAAGTCACCACTGCCCTGTAGAATACATATATGCCTGTTGTTGCAGGGAGTCATGAAAATTCCACCTGCATGCACCCAAAACTACATACAAATAGCACTGTATGAAGGGGCTCATACAGCTTAGTAGGTAATTATTGCCCACATGAGATACGTTCTTGTGATTGGCTAAAACAAGACAGCTATTTGATTGGTTGCCAGCCATTTTCCGTTTAAATAATTATTTGTGTATCCAGTAAAGTCAGGGAGTTCTTAAGATCCATACACAAATCTGGTTTCTTATTCTAATATTAGAATGGGAAGAGCACATCCCCAAATTTTTACCAAAAAGTTAAAAGTTTTAATTTCTCAAAATGTCTGTTAGAGTGTACTGTTTATGTATACTGGACCAAAGTGGCTATATAATTGGAAAACCTTTTGTTAATACCAGTATTTGTTCTGCAACATCAGCAACAGTAGGTGGTCTGTCGAACTACACCCTTTTCTCTCTTGATAAATACTGGCATGTGTAGACTGGAAGCCCATTACAAGAGGTTGGTGTAGTGTTAGTGGTTAGATCACCTTTCAGTTATGATAAAGTTGTAACTGATCCATTTATATAACTTGTATTGTTTTTTTCCTGTGAATGTAGAAAGACTAGGGTGTTCAGTGGGGGTTTAAAGCTACCTTCCTCTGCTTGTCATGTTTTACTTGTAGTATTTTTCCTCATTATATATGCACCTTCCTGATATAGCATGACTAAAATCAGATTTCTCTCTTGATGCCTCCAACATGATCAGCCTTAACATCTAGAATCTATTTCATTTCAGAGAGATTATCAGTGAGTGCACTGATGGAGATTTTCAAGAGGGAGAAAACTCAATTACTCTTTGGCTCCTTTAAACGCCTGAGCACCCTAGAGAAAGTAACAGGGCTGGCATCAACACATTGACAGCCTGCTGCACAGCCACCGGAAATGGAGAGAATAAGAGAGAGACTGAGAGACAGCTTGTATTATTATCTCTATTCCATATTTTCATACCAACAGTCAATGCAGGGTGTAAAGTCAACCTACAAA